GGCTCCAGGCCCTCAAGGATCGCATGCAGCCGAACCCGAAGGACTGCAGTTGTGTTACAAGATTCCGGTCACGACTGGAGACAGCAAGTAAGCGTGCGATTAAATTCAAGCCAGGACAAGCCCGTGGGCGAGGGCTCTCCGAAGGCCCCCGACGGCTCCCCCGACGGCTCCGCCGACGGCTCCGCTGAGGAGGGGGAGGAAGAGGTTTCGAGCCTTGGCGATGCAATTGTGACGCCGTCGCCGTTGCCTTGGCAGAGTGACGATGAAGCCGGCCCTCCCGCTGCCTACCAGTCCTCGTCTGACGGTTCGTCTCCCGAGTGGGTTGGGTGTTGCCAAAATAGTGTGCAGTTTGGATTTTCTGCCTATCAAAGAGAGATTTGTGAATTGATGTGCGTTGGCCTGTGAAAGGCAAAGGTGTCACGAGCGCTGCTGCCACACAGCTCGTGCGACAGCGAAGCGACGTTGGTGTTAGGGGCCGATCTGGGCAACGGGAATCAGCTGGCCGAGGTCCTGCCCGACAGCCCGCCAGGCTTCGACTTGGCAGTGCAGGGGCTGATGGAGACCCCACCGGCGGTACCGCCAGGAGGCCGATAGAGAGCAGGGAATGGGTAGTGAGTAGGATCTTGCGTGGAGTTGATGGGTGGGGTGGTTCGGGAGCGGCTGGGGGGATCTTAATAATCTCAAGCCCTCCTTCGTCTCACGCTCTTTCCTTCTCTCCCTGGCTTGCCCCTCGCTCTCTCTCTCTCTCTCTATCTCTAGCTCCAAGGGTTATTGTTGAGGATTTCGGGTTTACGGGTTATACGGTATATAGTACGGGATATGATAGTTTATATGGTTCAGGATTTAGGGACAAGCTTCCGCGAGAGACTCGATATATAAGTGTAAAGCCCTTTGCGTGATGCGCTTGTTCATGCAGGTGAAAGAGCCAAGCCCGGAGCCAAAAAGAAGAACAAGCGGGGCAAGAAGGCCAAAAAGGTCAAGAAGACGAAGAGCACCGCCCTCGTGCCGGCGCCCACTGGTGTTGGTAATGATGGACCCCATGCCGTGCCCAGTGGTGTTGGTGATGATGGACCCCATGCCGTGATGGCCGTGAGCGACCCCCAGCAAAACAACCAGCTCAAGCGCAAGGGTGTCCTGGCTAAGATGTATAGTGCCGGGTACGCACGTGAAGCAGTGGCATGTCTCTGTTGTTTGTCGATCGAATGAATCATCAAAGGTGCGTTCATCGAGGCTGAGTTGGGTGATGATGACTACGAATGCGACAGCCCGGTGAGCCCAGAGATCTTGAACAGCTTCGAGGAATGCTACCGAGCCAGCATTAACGTGATTCCCAACAAGCTCAAGCCGGACAGCGCCCACCACGGGAAGCACAGCTACACGAAGAGCCTTGCCGTGCGAGTAAGGAGATGCACAGTTATGCCTAGCTGCAGTTGTCAAAACAATTTACTTTTTGCCGATGTTGCATTCCTGAGGGTTTTCAAAGTTCGTGGCGTGACCCACAGAATCGAGATCCTGTTACGACAACAAGCATTCAAACCGAAGACCAATGGCATCAAGGCTGGTTCGAGCCTGGGGCAGCATTTTGTCTTGTTTGCATGTGGCCAGGTAGATACCCTGATTGAATGTGATATAAGGATCACATGGAAGAACCAACCCATGCGAGAAGCTTTCAAGAAGCTCTTGGACTATCTGAACTCCGAGCGATGAGCGCTTGGACTATGTGAACTCCGGGCTATGAGCGCAGAGATTTTGAGCCTATCAGGCTTTCAAGGTCGGAAAAAAACCGAGCCGTCGAGCTAAGTTTCATGGGCTTTGCGAGTGGCTGCCTGCATCGAGTCACACAAGTCAGCCAGGATTTGTATAATGCTTGTTGACTGGCCAACCAAGAAACTTGATGGTTTCGAGAATGTGCTTCTATTTGATGATCCTCTCGGAGCTCCACCTCCCATGGTTCGTGGAGCAGCCTTCCTTGTCACTTATGGAGACCCACCCGATGTTTGTGTACTTGCGCCGTCGATTTGCAGTTTACAAGGCATCTGGGCTACATTAGCAGACCCGTGATGGATGATGGGTGATCGTAGCGGTTGTGGCGCTGGTGGTATGGAAGATATGTTCGTGTTGGTTTCGACCTAGACACATAATTGGCTGCGCAAGTTGTCTGGAGCTTTAGTACAGTGTATAAAAACATAGGTCAGAAAGAAAAAGTGTTGAAACTCAGACACAACACTGCTGTCCAGCTGGGGCCAGCATTTGTTTTCGGAGCATTTGAAGCCCTCGCAGTCGTCTGAGGTACACATCTGGTTGGGATCGTATGGGCACGAGAGCCCCTTGGCGTCTTGAATTGTTATGCTGCATATCCGATGACTTGCTACCGTTAATTGATACAGTTTCAAAAAGCTACTTGCTTGAAGGCCAGAAGCCGGTCTGGATCTACAGCAACTACAAGTTCGTTGAGGAGCTCTACCTTCCGCTGCCCAACAATGTGGAATGGGTGCCGACTGTTACAAGGCATCCAGCGCGAGATAGTACACGACAACATATGTAAACGACAGTGTGCACAGCATGAACACAAGGATGATTGTTGTGTCTCGGGTGTAAACCTAAAGCTCCCAGCCAAGGACGACCGATGCTTCTGGCACGGAGAAGGTCACAGGTGGCCCGACATTAAAACAGAGCCAGACCTACCCGAAGCGCTTTGGACGTGCCGTCTACGATATGTTTCATCGACACGAGGATATGCATGTAGCCTGCAAACACGTCTGATTTAATTATGTCAAGTTCATGCATTCAAACACATTTTGCTCCAGGACGAAATCAAATCTTCGGTTGCCGCCCGGGAGTACTTTGGAAGCATATGTCACATTATGTGTACAGCTCTGTGTGCCCGGTTGATCCTGCTCATGTATCTGAACCAAGGAAAGACCTCAGAGGACACCCGCGATCTCAGATGCGTGACACTGGTCTGCATGGTCTGAGTCTTCATAGAAGCAGAAACATATAACTACATCAGTATATAGACAGACACAGTTGCAGACCCTCACAAAACACTCTACTATGAGTTTAGCGGGCTACTTGCTAGTATGCGAGAGATGTAGAATGTAGATGCCACATTAATGCGGATCATGGTCGAAAGGCAATATAGGCAAACAGAAATAAACAGCATTACAGGCACGAAGATAGATAGGCAGATAATTAAATGGAGATAGGGAGGCCTTCGGGGGGCCGTTGATAGATCCGCAGGTGTATCATTGAAGATATTTAGGCGTGGCCGTGTGTTGGTGTACGGCAACAATAAGTTCGGGTTACAGATCTTGGTCTTCAGGCTACAGCAAGTGAGTTGTGTATGCACGTGGGAATATAGGTTTGTCCACGGATGCACAAAAAACACAAGCACATATAAATATATACACACACATATACATATAAGAATATCTATATGCACACATACATATGTATTTGATACACACATGCACAGTGATGCTGATAAGGAGGATCGATCAAAGTAAGATCTGCTGCTTTCAATGGTTTACCGAAGGATCGGATCATGGGGTCTCTATAGCTGAACTGAGTCTATCATGTTTTGTGCTTATCGCTTCCTCGTGGCCATATAAGGTAGCTGAGCCAGGGTTTATGGATTTATTCTGCCGGGGCTTATCGGGTTCATCGGCTACTATACTGTGTATGGATCTTATGGATATTTGTATGTATATAATATGTACCGCACGCATCTGAGGATCCTGGATGGGCCCGGGCTGCCAATCTGAGACAAGCTGTTATAGCTTTGGCTGTGTGATCTGGAGGTGATATGTAGGTATGTAAATACAGAAACATCAACAAATCTGTGTATTTGCATACGTACTAGGATTCTAGCCTTCAAGTGGATGATGCCTGTGGCCTGCTACTATATTATAAATCTATGTATGTGCTAGCTAGCTACATATCTATATGGAACTCTTTTCGGAAGACCCAATAAACTCCAACTTAGGTTCTAAGTACTAATTCCAATCAACTAGCTGTAATCCAATAAACCAATAAATTACCTGGGCTCTCATAAACTACTTAGAATCCAATAAACCGATACATTACCTAAATTCGGATAAATTACTTAAATTCCACTAAACTATACGTAGTACTAAAGTATCCAAATTCCAATAAATTCGCAGGCTCTCCTGAAGTTTATCGGCCTATCGGGGGTGCTTCTGTGGGTCTCGTCGTGTTTGTCTGCTTCTCGTGGGTGTCTGGTGGGGTTGGTGTTCTTTTGGGCAGTTTTTCGCTGGTCCTGAAAATTTGGGGTGTGGTTTTCCAGGTTTTTGCCAACAACCAGACAACCCGATAAACCGATAAAAATCCGATAAAAACCCGATAAACGCCGATAAACCTTATCGGTTTATCGGGTTGTCAGTTTGGGTCGGGATCTGCTCAAAAAAAAACAAAAAACAAACCATGACCACAAAAAAAAAACAAAAAAAACGAACGACATGAAACCAATAAATCCCGATAAGCTGATAAATTTCAACAAATTTCCAATAATAAATTCCCTACAATCCAATAAACCAATAAATTACTTGGATTCCAATAAACTAACTGTAATCCAATAAACCAATAC